TGAAGACGAGGACGAATTCCTGCTTGATGACGACCTAGTTGCTTCAGACTCGGATCCTGACATGGCAAGCGAACAAGGTTCTGAGGAATCCGAGTCCGAAAGCGATGTTGAGGATGATGGTGATGATGATTTTATCAACGGGCTGGTCTTACCGCAGGAAGCCCAGAGCACGCCAAAAACGATGGCCAAAGCCTCAACCAGCACCAATCTAGCTTACACTTTTCCGTGTCCTCAGTCGCACGAAGCATTCTTGGAAGTGGTCAAGGACTCTAAAGTCGCCGACTTGCCCACGATCGTGCAAAGAATACGCGCCCTCTACCACAAAGGTCTCGCCGAAGGCAATCAAGAAAAACTCGACACGTTCGCTGGTGTGCTGACCCAGCATGTTGCGTTTCTTGCGAACACAGAACCTGATGTTCCTTTTTCTGTTCTTGAGAGCCTCCTTCGACACTTACACTCGATGGCAAAGTCGTCATCGGAAGCTGTGGCCGCCGCCTTCCGCAGACATCTCCAAGAGATCAATGATGAACGACCGCTCCAGCTGTCTGCTGGGGATCTGGTCATTCTCACAGGTGTCTCGACTATATTTCCAACCTCCGATCATTTTCACTCAGTAGTTACACCCGCCACTCTCACCATTGGTCGGTACCTCGGGCAGAGCTCGATACAATCTCTCCGGGACCTCAGCGTTGGGGCTTACTGCTGTTCACTTGCCCTTCGGTACCAGCAGCTTGCAAAACGATATGTTCCCGAAGTGGTCACTTATGCTACCAATGCTCTGGCCACTCTTTCACCAACGCCGCTACGAGACCACGACCAAGACGGTGTTCCGTTGCACGTTCCTATTAGGCTCCCTACAACACCACTGCGCGTAAGATCGACATCAGCAACTGTTTCAGAGAAGCTCTCGTTCAAGGATTGCATTATGAATCGAAGTGAGGAAGATGGACCTTTACACGGCATCGCTCTGCTGAATACCTTTATTCGTCTGACAATGCAAGCCGCCTCCCTTTGGAGTCACAAGTCCGCCTTCCCTGAAATTGTTCAGCCTTTCGTCCACGCCCTTACCCACTTATCTCATCAACACAAAATGCTGCCGCCACAAACTCTCACGCTAGACAACAACACTCTCTCCGCCCTCCTCGCCCTTCAGTCTGCTTCGGTCACATCACGCCTCCCCCTTCTCTTACATAACCACCGCCCACTCGCTATTAAAACCTCCCTACCTGCCTTCATCGAGAATTACAACCCCGACCGACACTATGATCCAGACCGCCAACGAGCCGAGCTCTCCAAGTTGAAGGCCGAGCATAAGAAAGAGAGGAAGGGAGCGATGAGAGAATTGCGGAAGGATGCCAACTTTATTGCAAGACAGCAGTTACAGGAGAAGAAGAAGAGAGATGAGGAGTATGAAAAGAAGTACAAGAGGTTGGTAGCAGAGATTCAGGGAGAGGAGGGCCATGAAGCAAAAGCTTATGAGAGGGAGAGGAGGAAGAGAAAGGGGAAATTCTAAGGAAGCCGGAGCGGGAAGATCAGGGTGTCGCTATCACATGCCGCCTCACGCTTTGTTTTGAAATGTGCGATGGCCTGAAGGGCTTGTTTGCCTTTTATCGGCGTGTTTGAATGCCGTCCACAACTAGATCGAAGGCGACTCCTACAATACTACTGCTTACAACCCCGCTAAGCTTTATATTGGAACTTGGATCGGCTGCTTGGTATCAACCTTGCTGCGGAGTCTACCGGTAGTCATGGAAGTCTTTCCGACTCCTTCAGCCGTTGGCCTTAGAAAAGAGTTTCACAGTCCCTGGACAAACCAAGCATCCGTATGGCTCCCACTGGATCGTCAAACGTTGTTATGCCGACACGCCGTTTCAGATGCGCATGTCCGGTCTCTCTCCGCAGTTTCCAGACAACGTCTACGCTATTTTCGTGGCTATCAAAACACAACAATCAATACTTCGTGCTAAAAATCCATCGAGAGGTATGGATCGTCATACTAAGCAGCACGCAAGAGGCGGCATCAAGGGAACTTCTAACTAGCATAGCATCAAGAAATGGATTGACGCTCGGACTCGAGAGCCAGACCCTTTTCCTATTTATGGAGTGAAACTTTGCAAGAGAAAGCCATGACAACACCAAGAAAGTCGGCCTACGGACTTTTCTCGACGTGAATCAGGGCTGGGGAGAATCAATGAAAGCGCGGACATTCGGCCATCATGAGAGTCGCAGATGGTTCTTTCCTCATATTTCTGGCATATTCCTCCGTTGTGGCCGACAAAATCGACAGTTCATCCCCTGATTTCTGAGTCTTTGTTGCAGTGAGGAAGCCATGAGGAGTGCAATGTGGCAAGACGGTGGGCGTCAGGGGAAACAGCCAGAGCAACTCACAGAGTCAAGCTCGGGAGACATTGACGATGCCTCTGTGCAGTACCAGGCATACCACGAAACCACAGACGCCAACAACAGCCTCTGTCCGGATTATGCTCTTCATTGCACCACCGTCCGGAGATTTCCCAGTCTCAACAGGAGCATTGATAGGACGGAGCAGTCTAGCAGCACGCTGGCCGAGAAAGAACAGGGAAATGGCCATGATTCAAAAGATCTAGAGGAGACGTACAGTCTTCACGCTCCCGATGCTGTCGGCTTCTTCAATCCTTCTCTTTCTCAGGTTCGAAGTGCTGTGTTCCTGAAGTATTCATGGACACGTGGGTGTCTCTCCAGCACGTAATTTTACCTGCCCCCTTGCTGACTTGAACCAGTCGCCCTACTTTGCGTTTTTGTACTTGGAGTCCTTTCCATATACTGGGGAGTCCTGTTCAGAGTACGCGAGAACCTCCGCTCTGCCACCATCGCCGTGGTTGACTTTGACGCAACTTCACCTCCATACGAGACCGTCGAGCCGATTGTCGGACGTTTTGTTCAAGCTGCCATCATCCACGAGCGTGCCTCTCAGAGATATCCGCTGGGCTACGAGTTCCTAGACCCTATCACATTCAGGCACGACCCTGTCGCAGTCCGTTTGGCGGTCCATGAAGAGAAATACTGGGGAGCGATTATCGTTAACAGCAATGCTACGGCGCTCTTGCGACTCGCGGTGGAAAGTGGAAACGTGTCCTACGACCCTTTTGGTGCAGGACAGATTGTGGTCAACCAAGCTAGAGATATCGAATCCTACAACCAGTACATTACCCCCGTGCTGGTTCGACTTGCATCGGATATCAGCTTTGCTTTTGGTCGCGAGTGGACACGGTCTGTGCTCACAAACGACACTCTCGCACAGAGCGTCTACAGCAATGCCCCCCAAGCTTTATCTCCTGGAATTGGCTTCAGTATATTCAACTTGCGACCTTTCGGTGAGTACAGAGCCTTGTGGAATCCTCGTCCGTCGTGATCACTGACGTTCTATCCAGATCCTCCAACGGCAATTCCCGCTGTCAGCATTGGCCTCATTTACCTCATCATCATAGCCTTCTTCTCCTTCGGCTTCTTCGTGCCGATGCACATGAGATTTGTTCAGCAGGATCCCTCCAATCCCCATCCACCGCTGAAGTTCACTCATTTGATCATCTGGCGCTACATCTCTACAATCATAGCCTACTTCCTCCTCTCGTTCTGCTACAGCCTTGTGAGCCTGGCATTTCAAATCCCGTTTTCACGGAGGCCGCCACATGGTCACAGCGACTGGCTCCAGACCGACGTGGCGAATAACGCAAATCATTTTGGCCACGCCACTTTCGCCGTTTATTGGATGTTGAATTGGTTAGGCATGTCTGCTTTGGGTCTGGCTTGCGAGAACGTTGCAATGGTAGTTGGTCAACCGTGGACAGCTCTGTGGCTGATATTCTGGGTCATCACCAATGTATCAACAGGGTTTTACGCATTGGAATTGGCACCGGGGTTCTTCAAATGGGGATATGCATGGCCATTGAGGCAGGTCGTATATGCGAGTCGGACGCTGTTGTTTGACACCCGCGATCGACTTGGGTTGAACTTTGGTGTTTTGGCTGCGTGGGTTGGTATTGGGACAGTCCTGTTTCCAATTTGCTGTTGGATTATGAGATGGAAAGGCATGAAGGCCAAAAGGAATCTGGGTTGACTGGGCTTGGAAAGACTGGATCATGGTCGTACGTGGTTAGTATATTAGATCTCGATAGAGGTATATACTCTTTTGAAAGTAGATGAATACATTTTTGCTTGATTTTACTCCATCATCCATTCTTTTTTTGCCATTATAATTTCAGCACACTGTAAAAATAGAAATGTTTTGAAAAATAAAGATGAGGTCGGACAATGGAACAAAAAGAATTGATCCTGGCGAGACTTGAACTCGCGACTTTCGCATTCCTCGAAAGAAGTCATACCGGATGCCACCAGGGGCATACAATATAAGAACGACACGCTAACCACTGCGTCACAGGCTATAGTAGGAAAGTCAGCGTTACTGCGCCAACTCTGTGACCGACACGTGTGGTTGAGAGAAACTCACATCATAAATATTTTGGAAAAGCGTACCCTGAAAGTGAGGTCATTTTCGGGACAGTTTCAAGACCACTTTTGCGGGGGTTTGGTATATATACTTGTATTTGAAGGCACGTGATTAGCTAATTGGTGGGGGTATATTTTTGGCCCTCCCAGCCTAACCTTGCCTCGCTACGAGCAAAGTAGATCTCTCGCCGTCACATGTACCTGCGACTGCAGATTGGTATCCTCAATTAATGACCGACTCAGGACTTTCTTTCTCTCTCTCTAACGGTAAGAAGCACTAAGGCAAAGTCTTTTATGTTCTGCCTCTTTGTGTGTTCCTCCTCTCGGTAGGGTTCTTGCGCCTCTCTCTGCCGTGCACAAATTTCCAGAGACTCGCTGCGACAGATCCATTCTTTTTTTTGGGTTCGCGTAGGATCATTGACTTTGCGCAGATCTGCTTTGCGACTGCTCTGCTACCTACCTCAAAAGTCGCGTTACTTTACATATCTCCCTCACCTCTCTATTCTTCGCGAAAAATGGGCTCTCAACCCGATGCTGGCACGAGTGCCGACGAGGACGACTACATGAACATGACCTTTGAGGATACGGCGTCGTCCGCGACGACGAAGAACGAAACCCTGACGCAGCGCAAGAAGCGGCTCGCGCGAGAGGCCGAGATCAAAGGCCGGCCCAAGTCCAAGGCGGAGCTGGCGCAGGAGGAGCGCAAGAAGCGGGAGGAGGCGCTGAACACGACGACCCTCGACACGAGCAACAGGGGGTTCAAGATGATGGCCGCGCTGGGATATAAGCCTGGGACCGCCCTGGGCGCGGCACCGCGGACGACGACTGCGGACGGCAGTGGCGGCGGGAAGGACGATCGTCTTCTCGAGCCGATCGGGCTGGAAATGCGCGAGTCACGTTCCGGAATCGGCGCCGACGCGGAGAAGAAGCGCAAGTTTAGAGAGGAGGTCGAGGCGCGGCAGGAGGCAGATAAAAAGAGGAAGGTCGAGGCGGGCGAGTTCCGCGAACGGCAGCAAAAGGAACGCGAGGAGAAGAAGATGGAGGGTCAAGTCTGGGCGGCCATGAAGGTCTGCGAGAGACTGGACGAGGAGGACGATCTAGAACAGTCGGTCGACGGCAAGCCTGATCCTGCACGGAGGCCCAGAAGGTCAAAGCCGCTGAAGGCCGTCAATGTCTTGTGGCGCGGCCTCGTCAAGCAGAGAGCCATCAACGAGCGTGATCGACGGATGAGGTATGACCTCCACCAGTCTCTGTCGAGACGGCCCGACTACATCGACCCCGACGAAGAAAAGGAGGATCAAATGGCAATGGGGAAGAAAACGGAATTGGAAGAGGTCGACGTCGATCTCGACGAGGAAGACGAAGAGCTCAACGAGTTTGAGACCCTCGAAGTATCGGAGAAGGTGTCAAAGCTCGTGGAATATCTGCGAGAGAGATGGCATTATTGTTTCTGGTGCAAATACAGGTATCCGGACGAGAAGATGGAAGGGTGCCCCGGCACGACGGAGGAGGATCACGACTGAGGTTGGGAGTGGTGTTGATCTGTAGTAGAATCTAAAAGGAATCAATCAATCTATTGATCAGTCGGGTAAAGACACGACCTACGCTCCGTTTGTTTGCCGTATCTCTGTATTATGTTATTATCATATGAGCGCAGACTGTCACGACTTGTCAATCTTGATAATTCGCCGAACATGAACCGGTCGAGGGACTTCAGCCTCGCCTTGCCTCCTCGAACCCTTGTCCCAAAAATACTTCTTTTCCTCCCCTCCCATCGTACTCGATGCATCACTAGCCATGTCTTTTTTCAGCTCGAATCGCTTCCTGCTGACTATCCTCGTCATAAGTTTGGGAACGGCGTGCACGACAGTTCCCGTCCTTCTCAGCAGAGTCAAAGACGCGGCGAGGGCGCCACCGCCAGATCCCCCACCGCCGGCCAAGCGTCTTCAAAAGGATTCTGAGAACTCGCTCAAGCTCGAGACGCTGCGCACCCTGGCAGACGGGTACAGCTACGACCTCCGCACGTCGGCTATTAAGATCGTCGCGAGTCGCACGGTTCGGTCGCGCACCAGGCATCTATTGCTGCGCGACCTGGCCAGCGCGGACGAAGCCCGTCGCGAGAACGCCCTCCATGCGCTGCACATGTTGCTCACGCACCCGGCGCTCAGCGACACGATCTGCAGCCACTTCAGGGACCCCAAGACCGTGAGAGCCATCGTTCTGGGCCTGATCAACGTGCTGCCTCAGCATAAAGTCCCTGGCAAAGAGGTGCCCCTCGACTGGCACACTAAGCAGTGGGTCGAGAAGATGCCGCCCCCGTCGCCCATCCGTCCCCTGGACCGCCCGGCGCACGAGGCGCAACTGCTCGAGATCTTCACCGTTGTGGTCCACAGCCTCTCGCGGCGGGACACCAAGTACACGGCCGTCATGGACGCCGCCTTGGATGCAGGGCTGGTCACCAAATGGCTGGCAAATTATCCCTTCCCGTGCTCTTCACCGGAAAACTCCGAACTCAACTTCCGCCGATACGACGTGACCAGGTTATTCGACCGTAATACCTGGCTGTCCGATGATTTTCTCATGGGGGACGTGATCCTGGTGGTCATGCAGTATCCTCCCGCGAGGAGACAGATGCGCGAGGCTGGGTTGACCGCGAGCAGTTATAGAGAGGACATCTTTACGAGCGGGCCCGACCGGGGCCTGTGGTGGAATCAGGGCGCGGGAGATCGAGATCGCGATCGCGATCGCGACTGGCAAGACGAGGACGAAGATGCCAACGAGGACAACGACGTGAGAATGGTCAATGGCGAGGACACCGCAGGGCTGGCTCCTCCCGGAAACGGGTCTGTGGGCCACCACGACAACATCACCACGCTTTGGGACGAGCCTTCACGTCCGACGACTACGAGGGCTGCCGCGCGACTACGGTCGGCTGAGCGGAGTCAAGAAGAGGAGCACTTGAGAAGGCGGCACAGGGAAGCCATCGTCGTCGCCGAGCGCGGCACCCCGCTGAGCAGGGAAAATATCCTGCAAAGAGCTAACAGCGAGATTTTGCAGCCCATGAACGGCGTCAGCGAGGTCGAGAGGGAGTTGAACGGGCTGTTGAACCTGTCTGGGTCCTCGAGGGATGCTCGGCGGGATGAGGATGCTTCGGAGCTACCTCACGCGGTCGACTCAGCCGCTGTTGACGCCACCCCGGCTTCCGATGGCGAGGGGCAAGTGGACAAAGAAGAGAACGATGGGGGGGAGGACGAAGGAGAAGAAGAGGAAGAGGAAGACGAGGACGGGGAGGAGACGAATCGCGCTCACCGGCGGCACCGTGAGATTGAACATTTGATTGAGCATGACCCAGAGATACAGGGCACGAACGAAGTGCAGTCCAAGCAGCAGCAGAGCGAGTCGAGCGAGGAGATCGCGGCTAGTGCTACTTCTACGATGGAAGATGACGATGGTCCGAAAGAGCACGAAAACTCATCGTGACGACCGGGGCAATCGGGTGTGGGCCACGACAGATTGTACCACTATTGAGATATACTGTATCTGCTTGATATTCACATGGCGATGGCGTTTAGGAGGGTATCCCGTTTTGTCAGACACTGCTGAGCGAAAAAAAACATGATGACACTGTGTGTTTGTGGAGGAGAGAGAGAGCATGGTTTAGATCCTGGTTTCTAATACGGTACGGCGTCACTCTCCTCTTCGGAGGGGTTCATGTCAAGAAGCCGTTCCCTTTTCATTTTGTTGCAGCTTTCTGACTAGTGGGTCATTTCATGCAAAGAGTATGTTATGTTTCCGAGCCACACTTTCATCCTCGCAATTCTCCCCGTCAGCGTCCCTGTCTACCGTGATCCCATTGCAATTCGGATGAAGACAAATCCATCACGACTCCCCAACGTTTCCGGCGTGCGAAGAAAAACATGCTCCACGTAGCAACGACCTCCCGCAGCCATGATTTTCTCCCTCTCTCTCGCTCGTGCAAGCCAATACCGTTTGATTGTCTACTTCAAGGGGATGAACCGCGAAGAGTGTGTGGCACCGATACCGGGTCGACCGTGCTTGACGGGCTTGTAACTGATCGAGAACTCGCCCAGGTAGTGGCCGACCATCTCGGGCTTGATTTCCACCTGGTTGAACTCCTTGCCGCTGTAGATGCCGATGACGCTGCCAATCATCTCGGGCACGATGATCATGTCCCGCAGATGGGTCTTGACCAGGTCGGGCTTCTCGTTGGGTTTGGCGTTCTGCTTGGCCTTGCGCAGTTTCTTGATCAGGCCCATCGGGCGGCGCTTCAGGCCGCGGTTGAATCGGCGGCGGGCGCGGGCATGGAGGATTGTGAGGAGCTCGTTCGAAGGGATGTCAAGCAGTCTGTAAATGAGAAGAGCGAGTTCGTTAGTCTTCCAGTTGTGTGTCATCGTGTTGTCTTCCCCCTCTCTTGCTCTTGATGAGGGACGCGGAAGGATGTGTCCAAGGGAAAAAAAACGTACTGGTCGAGATCGATGCCTCTGTACGAGAACTTTCTGAACGTTCTCTTCTTCTTGAGCTCGGCGGCCTCTTCGGCATTCTGTTCAATCGAAAATCGATTAGAAAACCCATCAACTACCTGGATCATCGGCGGGCGATGATGGAGCGAAAACGTACGTATTCGGTGTCGGCCATGATTGCGGTCAAAGGGCCACTGCGCGTTCGCTTTTCGATGAGACTGTCGAAAAGCGAGGAGAGATGGTTGCGGTGGGCAGTGATATTACAGAGACAATTGCAGTCAAGGGCTTCGAGGGATGTGGAGTTGGATGTTTCCGGCGAAAATTTAGGGCAGTGTGCACCACGTGACCAAAACTCTTGGCATAAATTCCGCAGCGTAGGCGAGGCTTGCGATCCACACGGTTTACTCATTCGTCGTAGAGCACTGTCAAAGTACACAATGTTGATGGTTTAGTGGGCTTTTAAGAGCAGGAGATACACGTTTGAATCATGTTGGATCAATTGATTGCGTCGAATCTTGCCTCATTCTACGTCTGGCGGGGAAACAAGTCAAAGATACGAGGCAGCGACTGCCCATTTCGCGTTGTTTGCCGATGTGGAATTGCTTGACTTGCCCATGTGCGAATAGGCTGTGCACCCAATGACGGTACAACAGTACTGTCTGTAGGGGCCGTTGCCATCCTCCTCGACCACGCATTCCCGGGAGTTTGGTCGTAGATCGTACATAATCAATTCCCATGGTCTTTTTGCGATTTGACGCTTTAGTCGAACAGACCGAAGCCCATATCCTCATCAGACTCTTCCTTCTCCTCTTCCTTCTCAGCTGGTTTCTCTTCCTCAGCGGCAGCAGCACCGCCAGCCGCAGCACCACCGGCAGCGGGGGCAGCAGCACCACCAGCACCGCCAGTTGGCACAGAGGCGAGTTTGGTTGAGCCCTCAGCAATCAACTGAAGTATTGTTAGCGACTCTGCATGTTGCTGGAAAAGTATCCCATGTTACCTCATTGATATCTTTGCCCTTCAATTCTTCGAGCAACTTGGAGAGACGTTCCTCGTCGGCGTCGATCCCGACAGAGGAGAGAACGCCCTTGATGTCGTCTTCAGAGGGGTCGGAGTTGCCGGCGAGGCCAAGGAGGAGGTATGCTGCAAGGTGCTTCATTTTGAATTTATTTCTTCCCACCCAATGTTAGTCGTCAGTGGGATCCAAGACCTAGACAAACTTACCGAGAATAGAGGAGTTGGCGAACAGGAGAGACAATCGATTTAACCGCTGAATTGAGCGGAGACTGGCACTTCGAGTTCTGGTGATTGTTCGATCGTGGAAAAGTCGCAGGGAAATCGTCTGTTTGCCTGGTGGTGGGTTGTGCGACTGGCGAAATTCCAAGTGGAAAATTGGATTAGGAAAGTCAGCCGGTCCCGGATACGGACCAGTCGCGAGTCTCGCCAAGCCGTTCAAAGAATGTTACTGGGAAAGTGAAGTGGCCACCTGGAGGCGGGGACGAACGACTTTCACCTATTTCTACCACATCATTCCTCGATCTTTCCTCTTTCCCTCCTTCGTGTCACTCGTCGACCACACTCTTCCAAGAGCTCGTATCTGGTATTGTTTGTTACATCTATATGAACCACGCTTCTCGGTGATTGCGCCAGCTGGAGCGGGCGGAAACAATAATCATGCACAAAATTCGGGCCTTGAATCTTCTGACTTGACCGCCTTCGAGTTTCTTCAAACTCGTCACCCTGCCCCTTCACCATGAGCCTCTTCAGCGACATTGTCAACTCGATCGGTAGCGAAAAGTCTCCAGCACCACCGAAGCCGCCGTCGGGACCTCTCGGTGCGAACGCGCATCGACCGAGTCTCGACGTCAGCAGGCATGGTTCCCGGCCCGGACTGCCCGTGGCCCCCTCGCCTCTGAATGGTACGAAACGGAAGGCCGACGAGAGCTCTTCGAAACCACCTGAGAAGCTTATCAGGCCGAATCCTACACCTGGCTTGACCAGCACCATTCGGCAACGTCCTATTGCCCCTCCTCTTAACGCTCCAAGACCGTCCAATGGAAACACTGGAAAACCCCTCGCTATGCCCAGACCGAAAGTTGACGCTCAGCTGACCTCACCGAAACCCGGCTCTGCGCCATCCACTCCGACTACAGCAACAACCAAAGGTCCAACGAAGGGCTCATATGCAGAGTTGATAGCTCGGGCAAAGCAAGCGCAGGTGGAGAAATCTCAACAAAGCCAAGTTGGCCTAATAAAGCATCAAGCAACCAACCGGGAAAAACCATCGAAACTGGCCGAGAGGAGACGGCAAGAAGAGGAAAAGACAAAGGGTGCAAAGGAGAAATCCAGTGGCGGCCGTTTGGCGAATGGTGGTAAACGGCATGATAAGTCTCGAAGCGTTAGCCCTGCGAAAAAGACGGATCATCCCAAAGGCCCCAAGGCCCCTCGACCGCCATTACATGCTCCCCCTTCGTCCTCTTACAAAGGCACCATGGGCACTGCTACCGGTCGCGCCAAACCACCAGCCAAGCGCGGGCCCAAATATGATGAATACTTGGGCACCGACGAAGAAGACGTTTCAGATGATATGGGCGGATATGGAGAGGACGAAGAAGATTATGCATCTGATGTTTCGTCTGATATGGAAGCTGGAGCGTTTGATGTGTACGAAGAGGAGCAGAAGGCGCTCAGGGCCGCAAGGGAGGAAGATGCCCGAGAGTTGGCATTAGAAGCCCAACTGAAGCGAGAGAAAGAGGATCGGCGTAGGAAGCTCATGAGTCTTGCAGGGAGGAGGAAGTGAAGCTGGGACAAGAAACCTATGTGATATCTGACTTGGAACACGACATGGGGAGTCATCTAGCTATATTGATATCTTAGCATGGGCGTTGGGGAGTTTTTGCATTCCAGGAAGACACATGGTGTGGCCCACTGCATTCTGTACTCGATGGATATTGTTATTATGCAAGTGTCGAATGCGAGTATTCGCATCAACCAGCCTCTCTTTCGGGAATGCTCCTCTGTGTTTCGTCTCTAAAGTGATGCAGAGCCGATACAAGACCCTGCCTCCAGCAATGCCTTTAATGACCATCACTCGTGATCAGTGAGCCATTAGATACAAACAGTCCAGTTATACTGTAGCGCAATACATAACCAACAGTGTTAAGTCTCTTCATCATTCGACATATCAAGGACAGCCGCACATTTAATCAGACACCAAACTCTCACTATCGACCCCTTCCACACGATAGAAACCCAGTGACTTCAACATGGGCTTATCGTGAAACCTGTATAAATACACTGGCTCTGACCCTTCGGCAGCGGTGTGCTGAAACTTGTTCCAGGCGGGTACGCAGAAAGTGTCGCCCTGCTTCCAGTGGAACTTCTGTCCGTCGATCTCGCTGTATCCCTTGCCCTGGACGACGTGGTAGACGGACGATGCAGTCTCTCTCACGGCAGGCGACGTGCACCCGGCATTCAAACGTTCGGCGGCACCACCGAGGATTTTGGAAACTGTTGGTCACCCCATTGATGTTAGTCGCTGGATTATCTGCGGTCTCGGGTGATGTAAAACAGAGGGACAACAATCTCTCCCTTACCTGGTCTTCCGTCGTCCTTCAGATAATCCTCTTCAGCCCAGTCGCCTTTCTTCTCGTCGAGCTTCTTCTGCATCGTCTTCCACGGATACACAATCGGACTCGTGTTTGAGTCCACATCCTCGGCCGGATATCTCGGCTGGTTAAAGTGCTCGACGAAATGTACGGGGAAATGCACGAAATTTGGCAGATCCAGGCCGTCAAGCCAGATCATAGGGCCCGACCCGTCCTTACCGTGGTCGTGCCAGTTCCAGGTCGGCGTGAGAATAACGTCGCCACGCTGCATGGTGATGCGTTTACCGTGTACCGCAGTGAAGCCCCCCTGGCCCTCGATGATGAAGCGCATAGCGAACGCTGTGTGTCGGTGTGCGCGGGCGGTTTCGTTGGGCATTACCAGCTGCAGACCAGCGTAGAGCGTGTCTGTGGTGAAAGGTGCATCTGTGAGAGGCCAGGCAAGTCAGTATACGCATTTCATCTTTTCCTTCTTTCTGTCGACCAATAAGTCCCCGTTGTAATGGGAGAACAGAACGCCATACCTCTGGCGGGATTCACCAGCATCAGCACCCGTCTCTCAGCTTGCTGTTCTGTGACTATCTCCCCGGCCCTGAGGAGACTTGGCCGGACCTCGTCGTATCGCCAGATGAACGGGACACACTTTGGGTTCGGCTCTGGAGGGTTCAACCGCGCCATCTGTGTCCAGAGGGGCTTGGTATTGACCTTGAGAGCATTTTCAACCAACTCTTCGTTGGGGTCTGCCTTTTGTCCCCATATCGGAGGAAGAGACTCTGTGACCGTTCCAGTTGCAGTGGCCATGTCAACTTCAGACGGGTAGTTGTATGGTTATATCGGGGTATAAATGGTTATGCGGGTGATCTGCTGAACGACAGATGGACGTTTGCTGGCAATGGTTTTGATGTCGAGATCTACTGACGACGATGGTCGTTCAAGATATACATGGGCTAACTGGCTATTTAGGAAAAGGTCAGCATCCAAAAATGCCGAGATCAAATCACTATGCGTTCCCTCGTTCACCGATCAAACAAACTTGTTTAGCGAGAACTTGGGTGAGGAGGAGGACCTTGTCGTACCAAGGGGCCATTCCGGCAGTGGCTTCCCGATATACACCCGACCACACTCCCACCACCTATCTCCTTCCCACACCCACTGTGGGATACTGTGGCCATAGTGGCCATTCCCACGGGGTACAAACAATACAGATGTTGACTTAAGCTTCCCGCGCGCAGCGGTACGAAAGGACGGTGGGTTAACATCGGTAGTGGCTCAGGTGCTGCCTCCAGTCGAGTCCCATCGGCTCGAACACGACTTTAGAGTGGGACGCCATTTGTACAAAGTCCCAAGTGTCTTTGGACGATTTCTTTCCGTTCACTAAAGCACTTGGTCTGGGTCTCCGGGGATCAGATCAACAAAGACAAGTTCCTTTTATACCCCCAGATTCTACTTCTCGCGCCAACCCGGATCAACTCCTGTCAAAATGGTTGGGATACCTTCCGGTGTTATGGTCAATGGCGAGACCAGACCAGTCAATGGGGTTACACCAGTGAAAGAAGACTTTATCAAAATCCCAGACGTGAGTACTCCCTGAAGGCTGGATGATGTGTAATGAGGTCTGATACATTGAAATAGGTGGCCTCATACCCGACGGGGAGTCTCGACTTTCTCGTCAAGCTGCAAAAGGAAGAGCAAAAGCGGACCAAGGCAATGAGAACTTCCAACTTACTCAACCACGATGACTTTTCCCGAGTGCGGCTGAACATCATCATCGTTGGTGCCGGACTCGGCGGACTGGCCGCTGCCATCAGTCTTGCTAGAAAGGGCCACAAGGTCACTGTCTTTGAACAAGCTCCGGAACTTGGTGAGGTATGATTGTATTTCTTGAATGTCAACTTGTTGTGGCGTGAGGCTGAACGAGTGCTCTAGGTCGGTGCTGGCATCCAGATACCATCCAACTCAAGTCGATTGCTTATCAAATGGGGGCTTCAACCGTTTTTGGCGTCCAAGATCGTTGAGCCAGAGGATATCAAGTTCCGGCGGTGGGAAAACGGCGCCGTCATTGGTCTCACCAAGCTGGTCCCTGAATTCCAGGACAACTTTGATGCTCCCTACTACGTGGTGCATCGTGCACACTTCCACGATGCCATGTATCAATTGGCGTTGCAACTGGGTGTCGAGGTCCGAATCAATTCCAAGGTCATTGATTATGACGAAGATACACCTTCAATAACCACAGAGCATGGGGAGTCGTTCTCAGCCGATCTTGTCATCTCTTCAGACGGCGTCAAGTCAATTGGACGAATGAAAGTGCTGGGTGGTGACGACCAGGCGCCCTTGAGGACCGGGTTCGCGGCTTACCGAGCGACGGTGGATGTGGAGGAGATGAAAGTGCACCCAGAGCTCGTCGAGCTGCTGGCAAAGCCAGGGCTGAACTTGTGGATCGGCCATATGAGACACGTCATGACCTACACCATCGCTGGAGGCAAGTCCTTCAACATGGTCCTGTCGCACCCTGACCGCACAGACCCGGCGGATTGGAACCAGCAAAGTGCCGACAAGATCCTGTCCGACATGCGAGCGCACTTTGACGGCTGGGACCCTCGACTGACCAAGATCATCAACATGATTCGGACCACCCTCAAGTGGCCACTCGTCAGTGGGTCAGCGCTCAGCCGATGGGTTGCACCCTCCAACAAACTCACAATCATGGGAGATGCGGCGCATGCCATGGTTCCTTACATGTCAGAAGGGGCTGCCATGGCGGTTGAAGATGCCGCAGCCCTTGCAGAGGCGATCGACCTGGTCAGCAGCACTCAGGAACTGCCTGAAGCTCTGCAGGTGTGGCAATCTGTACGAATTAAACGGACAAGCCAAATGCAGGAGGCCAGTCTAATCAACGGCAAGCTATGGCACTTTGCCGATGGTCCCCTGCAGAGGGCGCGAGACGAGGCCATGCGACCCGAAGTCGAAGGAAAACAGTTCGTATCAAGTCCGAACCAATGGAGCGATCCAACAACACAGCGATGGTGCTATGGCTACGATGCGGAATGGGAAGTCCGAAAAGCTTGGGAAAACAGGAGTACCTCAACGACAATGCTGGTGAATGGCGACACAAAGTGAGTTTAGAACGCGAGGAGGAAACAGGGATTGGAATATCTTTTTGGGTCGACGACGGAGTTCAGTTCAGGGGTTTCCATGCTATCATTTCTCTAGTCCTAGCATCCTATCCTATCATTAGGGGCAGCATGTTTCCTCTTCTTATGCTTCTCCTCCTAGAACTTTGCGGTGACATTGATATTTGATACATGGTCCTTGGTCCTTGGTCCTTTTTTGCTCACGATGTCAGTGGTGTCAGTTCAACGGAGTTTTGAATGCCACGATGCATTACCAAGTACCTTAGATGCAAACAAACAATCAAACAAGCACAAGGCGGACCAAAAACAGGAATAAGGCAATATTTCATTGGCCATTTCATTCATCACTGTAGGGTTTGTTTTGTTCACGGTCGAGGGTTACCCGTGGTCCTCGACACTCGACACTCGACGAGTCGGTAGTCGTGGTATACTAGTGTCTCGATTAACCTCTGAGATTGAGATTGCCAGGAACGAGAAAATCAAATCAAGGAAGGGAGTCACCTCGACACTATCGCTCTTCTCTACGTCCTTTCTCTTCAAGATCGTGAGTGTGCCGTTGCCTGCACCTTGTACCAGACATCTCGTTTCCTCTTTCGAGACAAGATAAAATTTTGACGGAGAAGAAACTCCTACTTCGAAACACTCGAGGACGAAAGGTCCAAGACCATTTTCCCGCCTCCCCCACGCTCATATTCCTCGACGAGCTCGTCCAGCCTGTCAAACTCGTAGACCTTTTTCAGCGTCTTGACGCCGTGCTCAACCACGAAATCCAGCATCTCCTTGACTCGCTTGCTCGTCCCTAGCTGGGTGCCGATGATGCGAATGTCCCTGAAGATGACATCGCTCGCGGCGAAGTGGAAGCCCTTCTCGGGGAACGACACCACGAGGCAGGTCCCGTGGTTGCGCAGCAGGTCGACCCCATACTGGAAAGCTCTCTGGGTCTCGGGCAGGATGATGGCCGCGTCGACGCCCATTTCCCCGCGGTACTTCTTACCGTCTTCCTGGCCGAGGCGCTTGACGATATCCATGGCTGGTGTGACCCGCGCGTCCACAATCTCTGCTCCCGTGTTCAGACTCGACGCAATGGCCAGGGGCCCGTCGGAGGCGTCCACGCCAATCACTTTCAAACCCATCTTGGTGGCGAACTGTAGCCCGAGATGGCCCAGGCCGCCACCACATCCCATGATGGCCACCCGCTGCCCCGGTTGGAGCTGGCACTTTTTCAGCGCCTCGTAGATGGTGATGCCTGCACACATCAAGGGCGCTACCTCTACTGCGGTCAGCTGTTCGGGAAACCTGGCGACCTGCCTCGCGTCCACGACCAGGTATTCTTGGAACCCTCCGTCCCGGGCGATGCCGTTACTTTTGCCCGCCGGACAGTAGTTGGAATAACCTACGGGGTCGCCAGTGCCATCGGGTCCTGGCCCCTTGCGACACTCGTCACACTCTCCGCAAGGGTGAAAGTTGCGACCAGGTGAGCCCACGCGATCGCCGGGCTTCAGACCTGTTGACGGGTCCGCCTCGACCACGGTCCCGGCGATTTCATGGCTGCCCACCATGGGGAGTTTTGGCGGAAGTGGGAAGTGGCCGGCTGCCACAACGGCGTCCGTGTGGCAGTAGCCTGCGGCGTCGACTTTGATCAGGACGTCGTATGGACCATCAGGCTTCGGCACAGGGACATCGGTTCGCAGTTTATATGGTGTGTTGAAGGACTCGAGAACCCAAGCCTTCATGGTGGTGAGCCGTGTTTTCTTTTCTTTCCAAGATATCCTTGTCGGCGCCACGGTCACTTGGTCGCTCAGTAGCACTTTCGAATGGGGCGAGGCCACAAAATCAACCGCAGGAGGACTCTAGTCAGCTCAAGAGAATATGAGTGAATGGGCAAACACGTTAGATCTTTGTCAAAATAACGAGATGGAAACGGTGATACGCGAAATGATCGTGAAAAGGCCCCAAAACACGACCGAGCACATCGATGGATTCTAAAAATGCTTGACTGGATCAATCCCCAACCATCTCAGGTATCTACCTACCCAGTGCCACCCACCTAGGCATGCCATTATTCCAGCATGAGTTGCTGGTTCATGAGAATGGATGATTCGGCACGTATGAGGTTTCCTCGGGGAAACACAATCGTTAGGCCCCGTGTGCTCCAAGGGCTAGGTAAGAACTGAAAGAAGTTAGCAAGGTTAGGTAACACGCTCGGCATGGGCACAGGTTTTGCTCTCCAGCGAGGGGAGATGGGCGGGGGATGGTGCCGAGGTGGTTTGAGTGGTTGCGCCTCTGTGGAAGGAGGGGAAGGTGGGAACGGGGGCCTCTAGCCACACACACACTCTCTCTCTCACTCACTCTCACACAAATCTTAGACAGTTACCCTCAGCGCCCCTCCCTTGTCCAGTCCATTCTTTCGAGATAGCAGGTGTTCCAGACACGGAGCACCGAACATCCCGTACCTCATGGACAACAATCAAAAACTCAACCGCCAAAGTGCCAATCTCGTGCCTAGGATCTCCCGGCTTCTCTCTCAACAACACGATCGTCTCCGAAGCATTTGTTACGCTCGCACTAACAACCCACCCTCCCCTCCGTACCTCCTTATCGGCCTAGCTCCTTCTCGGAATCCCTCGATCGGACGGGCATGAAGTCATCCACGGACTTGCGAGACAACGAGACGCTCCCACGGACCCAATAGAGCCAGGGATAAAATACGAGGGCCAGAGCCAAAAACGGCCGGAGTGGCCACTTTACCATCGACCCGCCTCGGTAAAATGGCAAATGATGTACCTCGTAGTTTACGGGTCATGCCGACTATAAGACTTGTTAGCAAAGACACTGACGGCCGAGGATGTACTGCCACATTGCTCCTTGCGACACCTTTTCTCTCGAATCAACAAACCACCTTGGAAAGCCTAGACAGCCCCGACGGGTGAACGCGTACGTGTACCATGGCCGCACAACGTCTCTCGGCGGTTCTACCGCACCTGAGCTCTGCTCCCACTGGCGTGGATGCCATGTATGTAACCCCCAATTTTGCGCAGTTTTGGATGAAAGGAAACAGGAAGCTAATGTCGAGATGGGAGGAATTAAGCACCCAGCAGAATCCGGATGACATAGTCATCACGCTCGCAATCAGAACAGCCATGTGCAGGTCCGGGAAAGGTGCCTTCAAGGATGTTGGGCTCGATGGCTTGTGTTTCAAGCTCCTGGAACAAGTCCGATTGAGAAGTCACCTCGATCCGAGTTTGGTGAATGACATTATTCTTGGCAACGTAAGGACAAGATTCGTTGATGGATTAGGGAATTCTACAATTGACCTATATCGATCACTTTTAGGTCCGCGATGGTAAAGCTGCGTATTACATTCGAGCTGCTGCGCTCGGGGCAGGCTTTCCCAACACCACGACGGCTACGAGTACCAACCGCTTCTGTTCATCCGGGTTGACGGCGCTGCAACACGTCGCCAACGAGATCAAGAACGGCATCATCGAGATCGGAATTGCCGTAGGAGCGGAGACTCTGAGTGAAGGAAACGAACGACTGAGTAGGCCTTTTGATGCTGAGATCTTGGCTGCGAGTCGCGAGGCGGCAGATTGCATGATACCCATGGGTGAGGAGACAGCATCCCAGGCGATCTGACAATTGTGATTTGATCTGACGTTCTGGTATACAGGTGGTACCTCCGAGTTTGTGGCTCAAGACTTCAACATCACCCGCGAACAACAAGACAGGTACGCTGCGGAGACATACAGGCGAGCTTACCTCGCACAAGAGAATGGCTGGACCAAGGACGAGATCGTTCCCATCACAGTGCGCAAGGACGGTCGTGAGGTCACCGCCACCGAAGACGAAGTCCGGCCCGGCACCACTTATGAAGGCATTAGCAAGATCAGGCCGGCATTCCCAGAATATGGCAATACCACCCACGCAGGGAATGCCAGCCAGATTATGGACGGCGCGGCTGCGGTCCTCCTCATGAAGCGCTCGAAAGCGCTCGAGCTCAAACAACCTATTCTCGGGAAGTACGTGGGAACAGCACTGGCGGGTGTTCCCCCGAGAATCATGGGTATTGGACCTGTCTATGCGATTCCCAAATTGCTGGCCCGGTACAATCTCTCACTGAACAAGGACATTGACGTTATCGAGATCAATGAGGCCTTCGCCTCGATGGCGGTCTACTGCCGCGACCAACTCAAACTTGACTGGACCAAGATGAATCCTCGAGGTGGTGCCATCGCCATCGGTCATCCCTTTGGCTGTACCGGCGTGCGACAGGTTGTGACGGGCTTGAGTGAGTGCAAAAGGCAAAAGAAGAAGATCTTGTTGACGAGTATGTGTCTGGGGAGTGGGATGGGCATGGCAGGCTTGTTTGTGAACGAGCAACTCTAACAACACTAGCAGGACACTATATATGATATTTATTGTGATCTTGCAGCCAAAACTCAGTCGATCAATTTAGGGACATGGTATTGTAGTGAGGCTCGTCTTGCGCTTGTTGTCTTGGGTGCTGCTGGAGTATCTCGTTCTGTCGCAGGTTAGCAATGAAACCTCCATATTCTACCGAGTACAGCAATCTGAAGATCCGGACAAACCCACCTTCACCTTGAGTCTGGCCAGTGATGGACCACATGCCCTTTGGTGGCTTGCTCCGGCCGCGGGGCGGCGATTCTCGGAACCAGACCGAAGAATCCGGTACTGGCTGTTGTGGCCATCCACCATTGCGCTTTGGGTTGACCGCCGGCAAAACGCCTTGTGGCAACCAGCAGACGAGGCATGTTTGTGGAGACGGTCGAGCCCGAGGCTAAGACTCCCAGCAACTTGTACTTGTACACGTACAGACAGGACTGAGCTGGTGGTGGAGAAGTGGACAACGCTCGCATTTTGTTCTTCTCCAACTCGCACTTTATATGCGCCAAGGATCCAGTTTTCGAGACGCGAAGAAAGAGTCTCCGAGGTTCTTCGATCCTGGTTTGCGGCGTTGAAGATCTGGCTGTGCACCGCCGACTTCGAGGAATCTCCCTACTCGGACGCACAGCGCAATACCTCTACAGAAACCATCCAGTCCAAGACTTGCATCTCCCCAACATGACGTCCCCCAGCGAGCCCGAGATCCTGTGGCGCCCTGCGAATGGCGACGCTACGCCCATGGGAGTTTACCGCCGGCATGTCAATGAGAAGTTTGGCCTCAATCTGCGAGACACCAAGGAGCTGCATAAATGGTCCGTGACGCAGCCTCACGACTTCTGGATCGATCTATATGGGCATCTGGGTATCGTGCCTCCGTTACCCAAGACCACGAAGAAGGCCTACGATGACAGACTACCCATGAGCAAGATCCCTCCGTTCTTCCCTGGGCTGGAGTTGAACTACGCCGAAAATGTCCTCTTCGCCAACTCGAATCCAACAGCACCGGCGGTTATTGAAATTCGGGAGGACCAGGATATTTACAATGGCCAGCCGGTTGTTCTCACTTGGGAGGGATTCCGAGAACAGGTCCGCCAGGTTGCGAGCGCGCTGAGAGCTAGCGGGATCAAAAAGGGAGATGTGGTCGCCGCTCTCGTGGCGTCGTCCAACTGGGTCATTGTACTGTTCCACGCGGTGGCTTCGATCGGAGCCATCTTTACCTGCATTTCCCCAGAGCTCGGAGTCGATGGGTGCGTGTCGCGACTCCAGCAGGTCAGCCCTCGCATCCTTTTCGCAGACAGCCACGTTCTGTACAAGGGCAAGGTCGACCCTACCGCAGCGAAGCTGGGCGAGATTCTCCAGAAACTGCGACAAACACCGCAGGTCTATGTGATCCCCGTCTCACACACCGCCCAGTCAAAATTCGCCTTCATCAATGACTTTGTTCAGAAATCAAACCCCAGAGACCCTCTAACCTTTACGCGAGTCCCTTTCAACCACCCTCTCATGATATGTTACTCCTCGGGGACGACCGGTGCGCCCAAATGTATTGTGCACTCACACGGATTCATCCTCAACGCGAAAAAGATCTCGGCCATCCACAACGGTCTCCACGAAGGGGACGTCATCACGCAGTTTTCCAACACTTCGTGGGTGGTGTTTTATGTCATGACGGGCCACTTGTCGACCGGTGTCACCCTGGTGATATACAATGGCAGTCCCTTATTCCCCGATTCGAAGCAGCTGCTTCGTATCTGTGATAGGTATAAAGTGACGTACTTGGGCGTTTCTCCGCGCCTGCTCCTGGAGATCCAGATGCTGGGGACGATCCCGAAGAAGGAATTCGACCTCTCACCTCTGCGGCTGGTCTACACCACCGGCGCCCCTCTAGCCATCGAACAGTATCGATGGTTCTATCGATCTTTCCCACCCTCGGTACAGATTTGTAATGCCGCCGGTGGGACAGACACGGCCACATCGATTGTCACCATCGACACTTGTGGGCCCCTTTATGCGGGCGAGATGCAAGTGGCGGCATTGGGGATGGATCTCGACATTCTCGATCCCGACACGGGGGATTCGATCGCGCATACAGGCGAGGCCGGCGAGCTGGTCATCCGGAAACCCTTCCCCACCATGCCGTGTTTCTTCTGGGGCGACCGAGACGGTTCCATATATCACTCTGCCTACTTTGAGAGCTTTGACAATCTCGACGTCTGGTCACAACATGACTGGCTGAGTAAAAATCCCAAGACGGGTGGATACACGATGCACGGGAGGAGCGATAGCGTCCTGAGTAAGTCAAGCCTACAGCACACTTGTAAGTGTTTTACTGACCAAAAACCCCTACTTAGATCCATCGGGAGTCCGCTTCGGGAGCGGCGAGGTGTACGCGATCGTCGAGACGCAGCAGTTCACCGAGTACATCAGCAACAGCCTCTGCGTGGGCCGCCGGAGGCCGCAGGACAAGGACGAGCAAGTGTTTTTGTTCTTGGTCATGAACCCGGGCGTCACTCTGACCGAGGAGCTGCGCAACAAAATCCGCACCGCGATCCGCAACGGTCTGTCGCCGCGCCACGTGCCCAAGTTTATCATCCAAGTCCCTGCCATCCCGACGACGATCAATGGCAAGAAAGTTGAGATTGCCGTGAAACAGGTGATCAGCGGCAAGGACGTCAAGCCCAGTGCCACGGTGCAGAACCCCGAGGCTATTGAGTGGTTCAAGCGGTACCGAACCCTGGAGGTGCCGCCGAGGGAGAGCAAGTTGTAGAGCTTCGCCTGCGATGGTTTGGAGAGGTGGTGGTGGTGGCCTGGAGTGCAGGCTTGGGCTTGTGCAATACTTGCTTGGGACTCGTGTCCGCGTTGAGACGAGGATCGTTGGTCACATCTTTGGATCTTTAGACTCTAGAGTCAGTCTGTGCCTAAGATTACACTGTCGCGGTAATAGACAAGACGAGGCGGCTTGGAAGTCTATAGATCAGTCGTCCAGCGGGTGAATGTGTGGATATATACTACTTGATAGACGAGCATTGGCCGATCTATCACCCAAAATTGAACAATATACTTTGCGCGAAGACATTCGATCTCAATATCAATTTCAAGGGCTTTCAACGAGATATGTTGCATTAGATCCTGCGTATGTTCGCATCTTAGAGTATAAACTATCCATATATTGGTAGGTAGATAGGTAGAATCCCGTGGAGCTTTTGCGCGTCGTCTCTCTCTGTATGCAAACCCTTGCCGGTGCGGGGTCCACATGGATTGGATGTTAATTATGTGGTCATGTATGGTATTTGTGTCAAATGACGGGTGTATCGGTCTCGCGTATTACGGCTCATCACTATGCTTGCATACCTAGCACCCACCCCCAGGTACTTAGCCTCCTATACTGCCCCACACTGCATGAGTCCCTACCAAGCCGTGCGAGCATACCCCCGTACCCCGGATATTTTTATTACAAAGTACATAGGTAATGGGTACTTTCAGGTCACGCATGGGTCGTTCGGGACCAAACCTCGGCTTCCGAGGGCTGGGGAGTCTTCCATACGTATATTCATACACACGAACATACATACATACAACATAATATCCTCGCCCTGGTACCTAACCACAATCAGACGTATACTGTCGACGAATACTTATCCACAGTCGACCCTCGACAGTCTCGTGAGCAAAGTATACAAGCAAGCCAACTTGGTCACAAACCCCCTCTTCAAACCCCTCTTCTAGCCAGGAGCACCAGCCCCGAGCAGTGACAGTCACAGCTCCCACAGTATGAAGGCGGCACGGCTGTATGGCGCCAAAGACGTTCGCGTCGAAGAGGTCAGCGACCTGCCACTGTCCGGGCCCAACGCCGTGGTGGAGGTAGAGTGGTGTGGCATCTGTGGCAGTGACTTGCATTTCTATCTCGGAGGTGAGTAACGAATACAGAGTAACAGCAGACGATGACATACAATACACGATATATCTCGTCAGTGTGTCCTCTGACTCTAGACAGGTGGCGTCAGCGGCGTGGAACTCCAAGACAAATGCATCATGGGACACGAGATATGCGGACGGGTGGTGTATGCGCCCCCAGGATCGCCCGTCGAGCAGGGCCAAGCCGTCATGGTCGACCCCCGGATCTACTGCACCAGCTGCTCGAACTGCACCAAGTCGCGCACTAACGGCTGCAACGTGCTCCGTGGACTGGGCGTCATCGGCTCCTCTGGCGGACTGTCAGAGCGAGTCTTGGTGCGACCCAGCATGCTCTACGCGTTGCCCGACTCGGTGGACCTGAGCACGGCCGCCCTGATCGAGCCGTTGGCCGTGGCGATGCACGGGGTCAAGCTGTCCGGCATCCTCCAGGGCGACAGGGACGCCGCCACGGCCCTGATCCTCGGCGGCGGTCCCGTCGGCATTGGCGTCGTGCAGGTCTTGCGGGCCTTTGGGGTCACCAAGATTCTGGTCTCGGAGCCCTCGACCGCACGCAGGGAATATGTCCAGCGGTTCGGCGTCACGGCCTTCGACCCGCTCGCTGTCGACGTCAAGACCGAGTCCCTGGCTGCGACGGGCCAGAGGGGCGTCGACGTCGTCTTTGACTGTGCCGGCGCCGCTGCGGCCCTGAAAGACGGACTCGGCAGTCTCTGCTTCGGCGGGCGCTACGTGAATCTCGCGCTGTGGGAGACGGAGGTATTAAGAAGGGACCATGACCCCGAGAGGGAGTTGTGTTGACGGTGTGAAACAGATTCCTCTCTCCCTCACGGAACTCACACGCCGCGAGATCCACCTCGTCGGATCGTGTGCCTACGACGACTCGGATTTCAAGGAGACGGTCGATGCTCTCATTGAAGGTAAACACCCCTTCCCCCCCCTTCATCCAAGGATATATTTGGAATTGGGGGTCTCTAATCAGCGAGCGACACACAGGTAAATTCACCGACTTGTCCAGTATGGTCACGGCGCGGATTCCCCTCGACGACATTGTCACAAAGGGACTCAATGCCTTGCTCGAGGAAGGGGAGAAGCATATCAAGATCATGGTCAATCCCAAATTGTAGTCCCTTTCTACCAGGTAGATTAATGAAATGAATCATCTATGATACTACTCTACTCTACTTCTAATCAGAATCGAAACGTTTGGCTTAACCAGGGACAAATTCTCGTTGCCTCCCCGAGAACCACTACTGTCACTCTGTCTCCTCCTTCCCCGGATGACTTGAGCCTCCTTCCGTGCATAACTCGTGTGCAGGATGTCAATTGTCATCCACACATAAGAACCATGTGTACACGAGTAACGTAGCGAGGTACGGCCGAGGCGATCGGAAAGTTTTGTTGGTCGTTCGACGAGTGAATATTGCGGGGCAAAACGACTCGTTAAAAACCCGCCCTTGGGACGAGAGCCAAAAAGCCTAGAAAACCCAAGAGGCACACAAAGCCACGTGAGGAAGTGATAACCGGAAGAAGTCTAAGCCTGGAGAGATTGAAAAGAACTGAGCTGGTCTCTGGTCTGATGATACCAAGAGAGTCGAGTGACTTTTGAGAGAGAGAGAATTATTTTCTTACAGGAGACAAAAGCAAGGACAAGGACAAGACAATTCGATCTCGGCTAAAGTCGCAAAACGCAACAAAATCATAATCATCATGGCCGGAAACGTCGCCTTCATCACTGGTGGAGGTATGTCACGTGTCGACCTCGTCCATTTCGCTGTCCCTGTTCTCCCGATGACATCTTCCGCTGACGGTCATGGGGTGTCGTAGCTTCTGGTATGGGCCTGGCCGTCACAGAGAAACTGCTCTCGAAAGGCTGGAAAGTCACCATCTTCGACTTCAACGCAAAGACGGGCGCAGAGCTCGCCGGGAAGTTGGGCCCCAATGTGCTCTTTGTCCAGGGCAATGCGGCAATCTACAGTGACCAGGCCAAAGGGTTCTTGAAGACCTGGGAAAAGTGGCAGAGAATAGATTTTGGTGAGTTTGTGCCTCGTCTCCCCCTTAAACCTCACAGAGCTCTCTCAACTAACTAAAATGCTTCCAGTCTTTGCGAATGCGGTACGGTGGCTCTATTACTCGCATTTCCACAAGGCAGCTTCTAAACGTGCACACATCAGGGCGTTGGTGACCGCGTCGACTTATTCGCTGATGCGCCAGAGACCGAGAACGGCGCTCCTCCTCAGCCAGATATCCTTCCCATCGATGTCTGTCTGAACGGCGTCATCTGGTCGGCGTACCTCGCATTCCATTATTTCAAGAAGAACGCTGGCCGGAAAGGCAAGTTGGCCATAACGGCCAGCTTTGCGGGTATCTACGCTGGGCCAGAGGTGCCCTTGTATGCGGCGGCCAAGCACGGAGTAAGAAAGGCCGACTCTGACGATGGAGGGGGAACAAAAGCTGACACCTCCATGCTCGAACAGGACGTCGCACTCGCCCGCAGCTTGGGCAAGTTGATGAAGAGCCGCGGCGAGAACATCACCGTCAACTGCATCTGCCCGACCGTCGTAGCCACCAACCTGATCTCGGCTGAATTCGTCCAGGCCATCCCCCCCAACATGATCACGCCCATATCCACCATCGTCCGCGCTATCGAGAAGATCATTGAGGACGACTCGGTCAACGCCTGCGTCTTTGAGACCTGCGGCGAGGATATCATCCCGAGGGAGGAACCAGTCCCAGCCAACAAGGTCGCTGCGTTTTACCTGGGCGCGGATTTCTCGGAACTTAATGCGAACGAGTTGGAGCTGATCAAGGAGAGAGGAAAGGCCCTGGACGCCATGGCAACTCGATAAAATAGTCTTTGACAGGGGAAAATCTCTCGACCTTGGAAAGTATGAAGTAGGTAGGGAGCTGTGATGATTTCTCTACCATTAGCCAGCATATTGATCTTGTCGAGACGATATATCTCCGAATCTCTTCCGAACGTGTTGAATGTCTTTGAAAACATTACCTCATGTTGTTTAAAGACCTACCCTGTAGATGTCCACCTGCCTGGCAGAACTGGTACAAGTATACCTCGTGCTTGTATAGTGGTGGACCCCCCACACACTTGATGGCCAATCACATAGCATAATCTGCCCGCGAAATACTCTTTGTAGTTAGCTCCATTCGCGTGAGGCGCGGAACTGGAAATACAACGAGTAAGGAGTGATGCACTTGTATTCTCCTAGAAATATCTTGTGAATCTCTCCCGGGTCCTTCAAAGCCTACAAGGTAAGGCCCGTCGCTGCTAACATGATTTCAACGTGAAGGGACACTCCTTGCGGAAAAAACATTGCTGGTGGTGAGTAGGTACGCAAGTAGTATTTGCGGAGGGAATAAGGGCATTATTACCCAGAACACTCGTGTCATGCTTTGCCCTGTGGATGCAGTTCTTAACGCCCCGTGTGTGTGGCCAATTGCTCAGGCGCTCGAGGTGACCCCGGATACCAGATGCGGCGGCATCGAAGGAAAAAGACCCCGTGTAAATGCCGACTCGACTCTGTAGTTGACGATTATGTATGGTACCTACTAAAAGACTCGTTAGGGACCCCATGTATGTGTATGTGTATTGTGTATATGTGTATACCTAGGTATGTATACAAGTTGCAGCAGCGTGTGGCTCACGTTTCGTCACTTGACGAAAATGATTGCTTCCACAAGTAGGCTACATAGGTTAATGCTTTCCGAATTTAGATACAAGAACAAGACAAGGGGATGCTGTATATCCATCTCAGGATCGCGTATCCAATATTGTTTTACTGGTGGGTGAGACTTAGCCCCTCTTTTTCGCTCGGGGGTAGCAAAACTTAAGGAATGGATCGAGGAAAAAACGATCTCAACGGCATCGAAGCGAGGTTACACGGTACAGAATTCACAGCGAGTCACACCGAGATCGGGGGATGATCTTATAGGGAGCCGGGTTTCAAAACATAACCATGGATAGAACTCATGAACTGGATGATATTTAAAACGGGAGATATATATATATATGTTATATGCGGTTTAATCAAGGCAGCCCGTGTTGCTCATGTGTTAAGATTTCCACTATACCACCCTTGTCGGCGTCATACATTCACACGTGAGCAACACACTGCAGCGCTTCGTTCGTTCGTTCGTTCGCTCATTTCAGGTACTTGTCGCCCAGCTCATCAATCACGACATCAAACATGGGTTTACCGCAGAACCAGCCGGCCACGGGAGAGCCGGTGAGGCGGTAGGTGAACTCGACGTCCTCCTCGTCGATCTTCTTTGTCTGGCCCGCGGCGTCGGCGAGCAGCTGGGTGTGGCAGCACCGGTCGAGCGAGACGAACCAGAAGATGGCGGCCTCGATGGTCGACGCGGCCGTCAGGAGGCCGTGGTTCTGCAGGATGCAGGCCTTTTTGTTGCCAATGGCCTTGACGATGCGCTGTCCTTCCTCCTTGGCCAGCACGACGCCCTTGAACGACTCGTACAGGCCGACGTCGTTGTAGAACATGCAGCTGTCCTGGGTGATCATGTCGAGTTTCTTGCCCAGCGTGGCGAACGTGCGCCCGTACATGCTGTGGCAGTGGGCCGCGCAGTTGACGTCCGGGCGCGCCTGGTGGATGGCCGAGTGGATGGTGTAGGCGGCCTGGTTGAGGATGCGGACGGGGCCGCCGTCAACGACTTTACCGTCCTCGTCCACCAGGAGCAGGTCCGACGCCTTGATCAGGCTGAAGGGCACGCCCATGGGGTTCACCCAGAACATGTGCGGGTTGATCGGGTCACGCAGGGTGATGTGGCCTGCCACGCCCTCCTCGAAGCCATTCTTGCCAAAGATGCGGAACGCCAGCGCCAGCCGGCCCTTGAGGTATTCTCGCTCCTGCAACTTGTCGGTGAATTTGGGGGGGCCGACCCAGCCCTCGACCTGGACGTCGTTTGGGTTCTCTGCCCACTCGTGGCCCTTGGGGACGAGGCGGTTGTGTCCTCCTTCCTCTTTCTTGGCTTTTGTGGCGGTGAAGACGTCTTCCACGTCGACCGTCTCGGTGTATGTCGCGGTTGGAGGAGCCATGAATTTTTTTCTTTCTTTTTGGATATCGTTTGCTAGTTCTGAGAAAGTAATGAGTGGAGTTGTAATGGTAGGAGTAGTGACGGTGATGACAGCGATGATGAGGGTTGCTTTTTTTGTCAACGTTCTGGCCTCAAGATATGGGTGTGAAGATGGGGAAATGGGAAAGAAACCGCGGGGGGATCTCGCTTGCGGGGTCCTTGAAAATATAGACGACGTTGCCGCTCAACCTCGGAGACGTCTCACTCGGTTTCGGACCCGTCGATGGACGTCTACAGCCCCGAAAATGGGAGTCACAATATGACCCGCGAGTGAAACACTGGCCAGAACGAACGGAAACGGGCCAACAAGACCAATCGATCTACGTTGCCACTCCAGCGATCAGTGGACCATGGCACTCGATGGGAATCTGGTTCGAAGCGGTTGGAGGCGGGCATCCGGTAATCCCATACCTCGGGAAGCTCCTACTCGTAATGGTCCTTTGTACAATTAGATCGAGGCCAGCCAGTCAGGAGAGGCCAGGCTAGGCCAATGGTAGACCAGGGAAACGACGTACTATCTTACAAATACAAGTATGCGCGCACAAGCACCATGGGGGGCAGAAGAGACCAAAGTTGGGAAGATTCAGTCCCTGCAACATTATTATTCAAATGGTAGGCTCGACCATGAGTGCTTGTTCATACATGGGCATAAAAAGGAAGCTACAGACACACTATCTGGGTTGCCTGTGGGTGCGTGGACCTTTACTATCTCGATGGTCTTAATCTGAAAAGGGGAAAGAGGAAAATGGGAACAGAACAAGTGGACCCGGGGAGCCTTGCTCGGCAACTAACTTGGGGATACCAGGGCTAACGACTCGTAACCGACGGGGCCGGGCCAAACTCTGATTGTACGGACCATGGGGGCCAAGATGGGACGACAGAAGATGCGACCTTGACGCTAGTGAGTGACGTGCGGAATTGTGGCGATGATTGTCATCATCTTCATCATTGTCAGAATCATGTGCTGAACAAAGAAGAGGGGAGAAAGAAAATGGTGGCCAATGCGTAGTCTTGGATTTCACACCCTCTGTCTTTGCAGGTTCTTGCTGCTCGGGTGCTGGACAGTAATGGCCATCGATCTATTCGGTACACAGCTACTAGTCGCGGCACTGTGTCTTCTCGGGATTTTGATGGGATTTTGTCATATGCAGTCTCGTCAAAATCTGTCAAACCTCTCCTGGACATATGTTCTAGGTTTTCGTCATGGATGAGTGCGAGCAAGAAGGAATATGTACCCTGCGCTTTGCTGATTGAGAAAACGCATGTATAATTACAATTGAGGCCGTTATCATGGGTTATGTCAGGTGGAGGAGACGAGGCTGACTGGGGATTGTACTCTGTACTCGGTATACTATAACCATACCACTTCTCTTTCTTCGAACCAGAAATAGATTCAGACTTCATGTTGCAAGGCTCAAGCAAATCGTAATGAGCGAGGTGAACAGAGTATCGAAATAATATTGTACGAATTCACCCCCCCTCCCTCTTTAGCTTGGGCTGTCGGCGATGGACACACAATCTAGAGCACTCTGGCTGTATAGAATCAATACCAAATGGACAACCGCCCAAAACCAAACACTTTTAGAGAGCCTATCTGAACCCACGGAGCCTAATGCTCTCTAATAAGCAACAAGTATCTACTCGGTACTACAGACCATCTCCTAGTTGTAGGCTCTTCCACACTCGAGCCTTTTCCTTTTCTGGATTCCCAGTGAAAGTACATGGATAGCGGGGCATGAAGGATGTCCTCGCTAGGCTAGTAATTTAGGAGATGGGTCCGATAACAGTTGAACCCTCGTTCAGGCGGAATGTTGGTCGGCATGAAGGACCTTGGCTTCACCTTCACCGTGGGCGATGAGATGGGGTTTATCGAGCATGACTGCTTTTTGGCTGTGGAGAGGAGAAAGGGTAGTTAGTGGGCACGTTCCTTTACCGAGAAAGAGGCATGTCAGTAGCTTACTGGGTCAATTTATGATCGACATTCTTGACAAACGCCGCTGCGATAATGGCGATACCTGTGTGACACACACACACAAGACCGAATCAGTATTCTTGATTCCTCGTCCAAAGAGTGCTGGAGAGGTGAGGATGAGGGTCAAACCTACCGCCAAAGGCTAGACTGACGAGGTAAACCAGCCTGAAGGCGTCCGAGTGTACCGACTTGATAGCCTCTGCACCTGCGTTGATGATTGCCGGGGTAATATTCGGTATAGCCCCCAGAGCCGCGGTAGAGCCTGTCGTCAATGCAACTGCAAGACCAGGCACATGTTAGTGGGGGGAGTTACCAAGGCTGGGGAAGCCGGGGGAAAGGGGGAGCCCCAGATGACGGATTGATAGATAGATAGATACGTAGATCACCAAACGTACCGATAAAGGATTCGAGGTTATCTGGGTTCAAGCCCGCCCCGATGGCTGCTTCAGCTACGCGCGGCGCCAGCTCGTCCGAGACCTTGTTGTTCAGGATGCTGCTGTAGATGCCGACGGCGATGGCGCCGCCAAAGGCCAGCGTGGAGCCTCGAATACTGTTCAAATTGTCAGTCGGACAATGCGAAGAGAGACACGGGACAAACTCACCCTGTGGCAGCACCGATATCCTTGTCCTCAACACCAAACTGGACGAGGAGCACACCGATGACCTGCGCGGCCGAAACCCAAAAGGACGCAAATGCCACCAGCACAATAGCTCGCGCGGGCGTGTTCTCATTCACAGACGCCATGGCGCCGATGAAGGTTGTCTGCAACAATGTGGCGACAAAGAATTGCCAGTTGGTCCGCTTGACCACGCCAAACATGGTCCCGGACACGACGATTCCAACTGTTCTCTATATCAGTCTCGGGACTTTCAGGATAACCCCTGTGTTGCTTACTGGTTGCCGCAAGATTGAAAGCCAGACTGTACCATCCAATGGTCCTGGGCACCTGGGTGAACAAGTACTGCACCTCTGCTCTCACGTCAGTTGGTTGTCATCCGGAGTGGCTTCCTGGACGCGACTTACGCTGAGGCCACAAGATTTGAAGAGATTGCAGCTATGCGATGAAACAAAACAAACGGTTTAGCGGACACGTCGGTGGGAATTGCAAGACTGATCCGGCACGTACCGACATTCCTGAAATCAGGATCGCAACCAACGGCAGACTAAAACCCCTCACGTTCTTCATGACACCCGGAGGGAACAGCTTGGCCAGGTTGTCGGGACTGTAGATCTCCCAGAGCGGGAATGCCACGATGAGGGTGACAGCTGATGAATCAAAAGTGTCAGTTTTTCGCCTCTTGTCACCAGAGAAATGGCATCTGAACAGAGACATGTCGCATACATACCTCCGAGAATCAACGGTGCCAGCACATGTGCGCTAGTCCAGGGATATGGGTTGCCGCCCCAGGAGATACCGAGCAGGAAACAGGTCAGGCCACCGCCAAACAAGACCAGCCCGAAAAAGTCCAGCTCTTTGAATTGCTGGAACCTGGTCTTTCCTGGGTGAAGGCCAACAAAGCCAGGGGGCCAGTAAAAGATGGCGATCAACAAGAACGCCCAGCCGTTGGCAATGGCCCCGATATAGAATGTCCAGCGCCAATTCAAATCCGCAACGATCGCATATGCTATGGACAAAACCCACGGTCAGCAGATGTCGCACGACGATATCAGGCTTCGTTCAACTCACCAATGACGGAGCCAAATGCTGACCCGGGGAGCGCAAACACGTTCATAAAGGCAATGGCGCTGCCTCGATGTTTTCGGGGGACAATCTCGTTGGCGGCCGCATACGCGATTTGCTGAATACCACCAGCGACACCCTAGGACAGGTAAGCAAAAGTCGGGTTCGACATGGGGTCAGATGTTAAGCGCACCATCAAGGCTGTGCCAGCAATAACTTGGTTGACCTTATCGGCTCTGAAAAGGACCCAGTCAGCACCATCTTCTTCCTCCAGATCATCCCCATCACACGAGGAAAAAGACTAACCGGCTTGCCACAATAGTTCCTGTATTTTCATCTTTAGTCCAAACAACTCTCAAAAGACAGGGTCGCAGGGGACAACTCACCAACTAAACCAAGAAGATTGCCTGCGATGAAGAAGTTCCGGCGACCAAAGATGTCGCTGCAACGACCGGCCACGGTCTGAGTGACTGCGCCACCCACAGTCCAGGCTTGGGCGACCCATGCAATTTGAGTCGAAGGCCCAATGTCGGCGTTGATGGTCAACGGAATGACGACGGGAACGATGAATGACAGGATGCAGGCTTCATAGGTAAAGGCCAACGCCTGAGATATGTGCGTTTAGCATCAAGTCAATCCGACCATGGAGAAACAAACTTAGCACAATACCCAGGACGCTTCGCAAGTCCAAGGCCCGATTCTCATAGGCCTCGATTTCATTGTCTGGCGAGATGATGGCCACGTCGTGCTTCTCACTCTCCTTCTCCTTGTCCTCCTCGTGGATAACCTCAGCTTGGGTCGTCATCTTTGTGGGGTCCATGCTCAGAGATTTTGCGGCTTTGAAAGAAACAACAAGAGCAGGTTGGGGGGACCTTAGGGCAACGAGACTTGAGAGATGAAGATAGATGGGTTTATGAGGTTCGGCGTTGGTGAGCTCTCCCACACCCTCCCCCCTTTTTATGCGTAATCTCTCGGATGTCAACAATGGAGAGGGTCGATACAAGCACGGGGAACCTGAGGGGGTGTGATTCCGGGGTGAGACCAACTGGGGACAATCCTGGCAGACGCCACAGTGCGAAACTTTTGGACCTTGGCAATTGGGAATTCCTCGTATAAAGCTCCTTGGCTGGCCCGATGGTCCGGCCTAGAATATATGCCATTATCAGACACTAATGCAGACATGGTGCAGGGGTGTCTTTTCATCCCATTTCCTGCCCCCCCCCCCCCTGTATTTGTCATCCGTGCTATCCTGCGCATCCTACTCTCTAGGAGGATACTGGAAACATAGTATGTGATCAATCCCAGCTGTACGAGTTCTGTTGTCTGGACAAGTCTTCGCGTGTGATTTGGACGTATGTAGATTCCTGTGAATAAAACAGTCACAGGCTTAGTTTGTCACGTATTGACCAGATATGTACCTTGAACCCCCGCTTCCCCTCGGCACGTCTGTCGCAAGCGATAGACAAGCTACTCACGTGGAGCTTGGCTGGGCTGCTTCTCCTCGTTGGTGAAAGACACGGCGGCTGAAAGTGTATCTCGCACGAGAGATCGCTTTTTCTGACCTATCCTCGGTGCAGCCGCAGAACACATTGAATGCTTAATTGATCCTCTATTGAAGTTGAGCTTGGAGATCAAAGAACTATTGCCTGAAGGCCCTCTTTCTGGTCGTTGATTCTGCAAAACGTGTTTTCTTTCCCCCCGTGGGGTTTTGCCCACATGCGCGAGAGTCTTTGCGAAAGAATCCTCTATTGACTTGGGGTCCCCGAATAACCATAAATGCCGGTTCGACTTCGAGTCATTACAATCAGGTGGGGTCAATAATACCCTGACTAGGTTTTAATGTGGATTTCCCTTTACAAAGTCCAACGAGTTAGGCAGGCAGGGACGAGGAACTCTTACTCGGTACAAGTCATGACCAAAACTGGTGGAAAATCGCACCCTCCCATAGGCCAAAGCCGCTGTTCGTACCGAAATTGCCGCCCTCAATACCTGGAAGGGAGCCCCCATTAGGGTGAACCCAATAATCGTCTACCTTGAGGACTGGAGTTGTGGGGATCATTCCAGCGCTTCCATCGAAGCCGTTTGGACTCTGATCCGCCCCGCGTCCCTCCATTCAACCCAACAGACGGGGCAGACGAGGCAAAGACGAGGCTTCGAACCCCCGCAGACTTGGCCTCGTTTCCGACTCGTTATCACGCAGCCAGTTCTATTGGCCAGCCTCGGCGACCTCGGAACGAAGCCGGGAATCCCAAGTCCGTCCCGAAAAACTCGATGAGACGCCAGGAAAACATGCCGGGTCTTTTTTGTGCATTGCCGCGGCTCACAGATCAGATCAACTGACTGGAAAGGCATGGGTGGTATGACGCCAACCACAAGAATCGACTGTTATGCTGGTCGACGAGGCTACCAAGTGCGAAGTGGCAGCTCTGGACCACCTGATAGGGTTTACCTAGGTAGTTCTTTTTCATGGTGGTGGCATGTTCCTAGGTCTTTGTTGACGCCTCCATAGTGCACTGTTTCCCTTTATATGCGGCGAAGCCATTAGATCAAAGAAACATCTTGTCCTCGTCCCAAACGTCTTTCTCAGTCTCTATCCTGCCCCGACTTGTGTGCTCTCGGGAACAATACTCGACCATGTCGGACGTCTACCTCCCAGAATTCAACGCTGACAAGCAGCCGACCGTTCTTGACAAGGTGGTCGGTCTCCCAGATGCCCCCATCCACGCAGAGAGACATATCAAGGTCATCTGCATTGGTGCCGGAGCCTCTGGCTTGCTCTTTGCCTACAAGTTGCAGCGAAGCTTCTATAACTTCGACTTGACCATTTACGAGAAGAACGAGGATATTGCCGGGACATGGTATGAAAATCGATAGTGAGTCGACCCAATCCCTCTCTCGCGTATTGGCATTTTCAAGCATATACTGACATTTTATGCTAGCCCCGGGTATGTCTATCAAACGACAAAAACCAAGTTTTCGAGCGAAACATGATTGATAGCAGATGGACTAATTGATTTGCTCCGGCAGATGTGCATGCGATATCCCCGCCCACACCTATGTCTGGTCTTTCGAGCCAAAGACCGACTGGTCGTCGGTCTACGCCGGCAGCTCGGAGATTTACCAGTATTTTGACAACTTCTCGCGCAAGTATGACCTGCGCAAATACTGCAAGATGCAGCACCAGGTCATCGGAGCCACCTGGGACGACGACCGAGGAGTTTATATCGTCAAGGTCAAGGATTTGGCCTCCGGCAAGGAGACGATTGACTACTGCAACATTCTTGTCAACGCTGGCGGCATCTTGAACGCCTGGAGATACCCGGCCATCCCGGGCCTTAACAAGTACAAGGGCACTTTGTTGCACACGGCAGCCTGGGACAACTCTGTCGACCTCAGCGGCAAGGTCGTCGGCCTCATCGGTAACGGGTAAGTAGATTAATATCTCTTTCGCATAAAGGAAGTCAAAAAGGCTAACGAGTGATGTTCCTCAGATCGTCTGGGATCCAGGTTCTTCCCACCATCCAGCCTCATGTCGACAAGGTCATTACTTTTATCAGAGAGCCCACTTATGTCTCCCCGGTTCAAGGGCTGAGCCAGCACGTCTACACCGCCGACGAGAAGAAGCAGTTTACCGAGCAGGAAGGGACGCTCACCAAGTACAGAAAGCAGATTGAACGTGATACCAACAAGCTCTTCAACTTGTTCATCAAGGACACGCCGTCGCAGAAAGAAAACCGAGCTTACATTACCGGCCTCATGAAGGAGAAGATCGCCAATCCTTACCTCGAGGAGAGGTTGATCCCAGAATGGTCTCTCGGATGTAAGGACTCCTCTACTGTCTTGGTCGGTGACAATACTGACAAACAGCTACTTACAGGCCGAAGATTAACACCTGGTATTGGCTACCTGGAAAGCCTTTCCAAGCCTAATGTTGAAGTTGTCTACGGCGAGATCACAGAGATCACCGAAAAGGGCTGCATCTGCGACAACGGCCAGGAATATCCCGTCGACGTCCTCATCTGTGCCACCGGATTCGACACGTCGTTCCGCCCACGGTTCCCGGTCATTGGCCCCAACAAGAAGAACCTCCAAGATGTCTGGGGCAAGCAGCCGCACTCATACCTGGGTCTTGCTGCCGCCGAATTCCCCAACTACTTGGTCTTCCTGGGACCCAACTGTCCGATTGGCAACGGACCCGTGTTGATCGCCATCGAAGCCCAGGCAGACTGGATGATGAGTGTGATCGACCGCTACCAGACCACCAACATCCACTCCTTCTCGCCCAAGCAGGAGGCCGTTGACGACTTTATCGAGTACAAGGATAAGTTCATGCAAAAGACCATCTGGTCCGAGCCCTGCCGCAGCTGGTACAAGGGCGCCGAGATTGACGCCCCCATCACGGCCCTCTGGCCCGGCTCGACCCTGCACTACCTGGAGGCCCTCAACCAGGTCCGGTGGGAAGACTTCAACGTACGGTTCAACGGCAACCGCTTCGCCTGGCTCGGCAACGGCTACAGCCAGACCGAACTGGACCCCTTGGCCGACACGGCCTACTATATCCGCGAAAAGGACGACAGCCCCCCGGCATCGACGCGCGCCAAACGGGAGGCTCTGACGAGAACGGGCGAGGTCGGATCGACGGCTCCTCGAAGAGTCGGTGCACCTCAACAGCAGTCCCATCTGTAAACGGTCTGAGAAGGAAAAAGATTTATGAGGGTGGAAAGCGGGAGGGGGAGGTGGTGACTTTGGGGAGTCAAATCTTCTGTCATCTTTGGGAACATTTTCAGACATTTGTTTTTCTTCTTGAGACGGACTACAAAGTATAGTCACAAGTACAGTATATAGTTGGAAGCGAGGCTTATGGAGTATACCGACGAGACGAAGAATCCTAGATTCCGAGATATTAGAACGAGTGTCAATCGTTTTTACCTGTGTTTTTCTTGTAATAATCTCCATCAAAACGTGTGTATCACAATGTTGTAGAACCTTGCGCGCGCTTCGGCAATCATCAGACGTTCTTGACCATCTTCGAGCGAGAGAACACGCTGACTCGCTCCTTCTACCGAGTTGCTCTTTTCGGCCTCTTGCATTCTACAAGTATGACTTGCACCTGCCGAGTAATGAACAGTCGGCCCAAGTCAGGTGAATGCAACTGCCCACTTCCTTCCTCCGGCGGACCAGGTCGCTGACTCGTCGCCTTTGCCAGAACAAGGACAAACACTCACGGATATACAAGGATAGACGAGGATCCGACCCAAGCTTATCAATTTATCCATGATTGTGCCATATTTATCCATTGTTCGTTTTTCCTCTGCCGAGGCACCCTGTGCTCACCCACCCACCGTCCCATGCCGAGGCTTGCTGGAGTCTCGTCGAAAACAGTGTCTGCGTGTAATGCGGCCGGTGTCTTGTCCACGGCGCGCGGTGCGTCACACGTTTATTTCTTTTCCCGATGGGAGGCCTGCCACTAGTTCCATACGAGTAGTTGCACGTACCTAGCAGAGAGAAAAAAATGGTTACCCTCCAATCCTGATCTGCGTGATTAGGTGGTTGGTTGTACTCGTAAACGGTGCATTGGTGTCGGAGTGCGTGTGCCTTTGCTTGTTTTTGACTCTCAATCGCTGTGGGGTTTTGTTACTCGGGACACGGAAAGAGTTGTAGTGTAGGCTTGTCTGTCTGTCTATCGATCAAGAGTCAAAATGACTATTTTCCAATCATCACAGCCTCCCATCAAAGGTGCGTGTAGGGAAATGAAGCCCGGCTTCACCTACCTCAAAGCTCTTGCACAGAGACAAAAGGCCCTAA